AGCTAGACCAAAAAAATAGTGTGATTATAACAAGGTTGTGACTATATTGAGGGTGACTATAATGAGGTCAGACTGTACTTTGATTTTTTTAAATGATAATAAAGATAGTTTCGTTAATAATTTATTTATATATTAACTCTTTTATGAGTTGGGTATTTAATAATAAATATTACATTAATTCATTCCACTTTATACATATCTATCTGTTTTCTAACTTTATGCAATAAGTTTTTTGTATGTAATTTATTGGTTTGTAAGCTTCTTTAAGCGAAGTTTCTTCATTTTCTAATATTAAAATGATAAACATTTTAAAAAATTATGTAATTTGATTGGTTGATTATTATGGGCAATTACAGGTAGATCAGCAAAAATTAACCAATCATATGAATGTCTTCCTATGAATACTAGACCTAAATATATTCATAGCCAAATTACTAGCAGCAGTCAAAAAAAACAAAATGTATTCTAGAATAGTTTATCTTTATAATGAAGCAACAAGTGAAAATTGGGAGGAATATAAAAATATATTAGAGAAAAAGATTAAAAGCAATGAGAAGATTCTTTTATGCTTAAAAAAAAAATAAAAGAAAACACAGAAACTAATGATATACAACTATCCCAATTAACAAATCAAATTTGGGCAATTTTCAAAGCAAGCATTCTAGAAGCGACAAACAAAAAAAAAAGTATATAACAGTATTTCTCAAATCAGAAATAATAGCACCAAATTACAACAAAAATTTTCCAGAAACGTGATTTTTGATCAATCAAATCTCAAGATTAGGTGTAACAGTAAGGTAATATGTCACGATGATCGATTTTACATAGTAATGTTATACAAAAATTATACACCTGCTTTTCGTTTGTTACAAGTAAAACTGTAAAACTTACTAGAAACTCAATCCTTATATTTTAATAAAATTCAAATTTCTTATTTATTTCGCTTACTTATAACTTCGCTTTTTTTATTTTATTTTATTTTTTTTTAGATATTACAGGTCAAAGAAGAGTATAATTTTTAACTTTATTGCCTACATTCTTTTCACGAAGTTAAGTTATACTAGATTTTGTTAAATTACAAGCTAGTATAAACAACAAGCCATATGATTAATTAGAGGTATAAAGTAGCTTCTGTTAATAAATTTTTGCATTAAAGTGAATTGAAGATTTTAAAATGTTTTTCCTAGGTATTAGAAGTTCAATCAACCCGAAATCAAGAAACCAAAATGCAAAATGTTTGAACAAGACAAGAATTATTAAGATCCGGAAAGCATAAACTTATTAAAAGCTAGTTATACGGATTAAGTAATTTATTTTAAATTTATATAATATATTTTATTAATTACATTCTTTAATCATCTTTTAAAGATAGTAAATATTCTTTAGCTGAGACACTAACTAATTCCTTAACCCACCTTCCCTTTGTAACCACCTCTTTAGTTTTATAAATATCTTCATACAGAATATTATATAGCCGAATGAGGCCTTTTTTGTAAAAATTAAACATTCGTGTATAACCATCTGGTTTCATTTCTTGTGTATGTCGGAAAAGATCATGTTGTGTAGAATCAGGGTGATTAAATGCACTGGTAAGTTTATCAACAAGTTTCCAGAAAGCTTTAGTGTATTGTTTAATATTTCAATCTCCTGCACTAACTACATTGTTTCCCACGAATTTGTTGTATAGAAGTAACAATCTTTCACGTTTATCTTGAATCGCCATCATCCTTTGCTTTAGAATTACCAGATCTGATAAGCCAGATGTTAAATTTTGTTTAACAAATTTTACACCATATTGTTCCAGAGCTTCATCAAGAGCTAGGTAATGATTTTCTCTGGTAATATTTATTGAAGCAACGTGCTTGAATAGTTCACATTGCTGTGGGTGTCATGATACTGACTCCAAAAAAGTTACAACTGACGATGTATAAATATTTTTTCCAGCTACAGGAAACAGTGGTACAAATGCAGCTAAATTTTTTAATTGCATATCTGCATTACCTAAACGAATTTCTACACAATGACCTTTCCAATATCCGGCTAAACGGTAATATAAAAACCACACTTTTAGGATATTATTATTTCCTCTAAATATAGTTTCTGTGTCTAATGGTATGTTTTTATCATTTAAATGAAGACGAATTGCTATTCCTATGGCAGCATGTATTAATTCTAGTACTTTACAGGTTGCACGATAGTCTACATTTTGTTCCAGTTTGTCAAGAAATCGCACACCAAGCTTTGCCGCCATACTATAAAGACCATATCCACTAAATGCTGTAATTAAAGCACTGCACATGGCCTTTAATGTATGCCATTGTCCAAGAATAAATCTGCAAGTTAAGTCTTTATTTTTATATGATTTAGTTCTTGCAAAAATAGTTGCATCACATGCTAAATCGATAACATTTTGTTCAAGATCTTTTAGATACATATCAATTAACTTGAATATGGAAGCGTTGCTATCAGGTGCTGGTTCAGGTTCTAATATAACAACGTTAGGTAGATTTATTCGACATCTCGATTCTATTTTAGAAAATATTTCTTCATTAATTTCTTTAATGCCAAAGTTTCTTTCATGTTTATTTACTAACTGTTCTATAATTTGATCAAAATTTTCATCTCATTTGGATGTAAATTCTGATTGACCAAATAGATTTTCTTGAGATTCTGAATTTTCTTGGACAAGGGACGAAATATTAAATGGAAGCTCGAACTGGAATACCATTTTTAAAGTGGTATGCGTGGATTGCTATGTAATATCGTATATATTTTCATACTTAAAGACAATATTTTTAAAATCAATATTATTAATAACTGCAATATTCCATATGTTGGGACCTTTTATCAATCTCATTAATGGGTTTGATTTTTTAACACACTCCTTTTCCAATCTCATCTCATGTTTCCATGTATAAGATGTAATGTGTACTGCACGTAGAATTGCTTGCAAAGAAGATATTAACTTGGGCTTTTTGCACAAGGAAGCCATAGTATAGGTAAGCCATATCTTCCATGAACGGAATGCTATTGTCAAGATAATAGATGCAAGAAATGATGTAATCTTTTTTATAGAACTTGTATCAAATTCTGATGACGTTTTTCCATGCTGTCTTTTTTTTTTCTCTTACTGCATATTTTCATTTTTCAATAGATCCGATCAATCCATCAAAGAAACTAGTAAGAGCTAAAGGAAAACTAGAGTAATATTTATCTAATGATGATAGATTTTCTAGTTTATTACAGTTTTTTTCAATCTCATCGCATGAGTCACATATCGATTCCCCTAGCATTTTTCTGAATTGCCTGCATTCTTCTGCTTTTATATGCTTTTTATTTGTAAATGAATAATTTTTGAGTTTATTAATTTTCATAGCTATTTTTACAAGCAATGGACTAGGTAAATTATGCTCTGTATCAGTAGAGGATGATGAACTTGGATTTGAAGACTCCAATAATTTCATCATATGCCGTAACACCTTTTTCTTTTTGCTCTCATTCTGAGAATAAGAGAGATTAGATAGCCAATTTGAGAAAAGCCTCAAAACGTAGTTAGTGTCATCACTATGTAATTCATTATTAACACACGTTTTAGGTATTTTTCCTGATTTTTGTTGTATATGAAGATGTCAACTATTGTTTTCAAAACAACTTGTGCAGATATATCTAACGCGATTATCATTAGTAACCCTCGAAGTAATATTCAGAATTATTTGGAAAGCTGGACATGATTTAAAACCAAGACACGGTACTTGAATATCTTTCCCACATACATTTCAGCAATGTTCTACAATCATTACCTCTGCTAAAGAACCTTTTATATTTGTTGCAGAGTAAATATTTTTTTGTATGAATTATACTTTTACTTGTATTCCTTCTTAGTTTAGTACTAGACAAGTGAAGTTTGCTATGATCGAAATTGAAATGACTTGAACAAACTCCTAACTTGGTAATGTCTAAATTTTCTTCCGGGGTTATTTTTACTTCCCAGGTTCCAATTAACTGAGATAATGATACTAACTTAGTTGTTGAATTGCAACGTTTAACCTCTCCATTTAATTATCGAAAATAACACAGGGTGACCGTTTCTTCGTTTTAACTTCTGGAATTTCATGGCTCTCATCTTCTTCATCCTCAGGCAACATTTTTTCAACGTCACCTTCTTCATTTTCTATTATCTGATCTTCTAACAAACTTCTCACTTTTGTCGCAGCCAAATAATTATGAGTAAATTCTTGATCATTTTGATCTGTAATCCAATTTTCTTCTGGGTCCACAAGTCTAGAACAATAATTATCTATGTTTTGATCTACAATCATAGTTTCTTCAGGATATTCAGGTCTAGAATAATCATCCATATTTTGATCAGTAATCAAAGTTACGTCTGAATCTTCAAGTATTGAATAATAACTTTCCATAGCTGATAGGAATCAATTATGAAAATAGATTTATTAAAAGAGCTTTGATAGTAAGTATTTCTAATTAATAATTTGAGATTAGTACGATTTCAAACAGAAGTCCAAAGGTGTCTTATTTATAATAAATTTAACTAATACTATGATAAATATTTTGGAAACATGTTTTAAAAAAATGTTTTAGATATGATCGAGAAAGATGTTTCAGAAGAGTTTTTAGAGATCAAGAAGAAAGACTTTCAAAAGGATGTTCTCGAAATGATGTTTGAAAAGACATATCTAACAAGAGCGTTTCAGAAAATGCGTTTCATATGTTTCAGACAAATTTATGTATTTAAAAATTACACTGAATATTATATTGTAGACATATTTTATAGACAAGTTTTAACTGTTTGGAATTAAATATTTTTTTTATAGGAAACACAGATGAATCGTATTGAGAAATAAACTTGGCACCCAAGAATATTTGCTACATGCATTTTATTAAAAAATTTTAATTCACAATATTTGTCATTAAATAGCCACTGTACTGTTGTATGATATAATTTTTACAATATATATTACAATTAAACTTTTCGCTAATTATCGTTTTATTATTTTATAAACAGAGATTTATTAACATTATAGTTCTGATATATAATACACGATTATAATAAAATTTGACATATTATTGTAAAAAATGTCCTGATAAGTCTTTATTAACTACAACGATTTAATAAAAAAGAAAAAAAACCTCTTTATATATATTTTGTAAAATTGCAACCAACATATAAAAATAGAAATATGAACTTCTAACTAGTAAAAGCGAAGGTGATTAGGAAGAATATCAAATTCAAAATGTATATCATTTTCTTCATTTAGTTCTTGTTCAGTCAACTCGCTTTCTTTGGTCTTACTCAACTTCTTGGCAATGTGATGCCTCATTTGGGTCTTTTTCTTATTTTTCTCTTCGCTAGCACTATCTAATTGATTATATTCAAAACAGGCAATATAAGTAATAATGTCTTTGGGTTCTTTTGTCAGGAATATTATCTGAAATATTACATAAGCTGTGTTTAAAAATAAATAAAATATGTTAATAAACTATACTTGTGAATAAATAGCAATCACGAATATATCTTAAAATAAAAGTATCTTCCTAAGCATGATTTTGAAGAGCTTAATCCCAAGATCATAGTTATGATGGCACTAAAATAAACGTATTTGTGAGTAAAATTAACACAAAATATTTTAAAGATCTAAGGCATGACTCAGAGTAAGAACGAATACAATCCTGAAAAGCTTAATCTCTAAGATCATAGTAATGACAATGCTAACATCCTGTTTGCTTGATTTTTGAAGTTTTTCTGAAGCTAAGTTGTGAAAAAAATTAACTTGTTCAGTAAGTAGCATGAGGATTCGTGGTTTTTGCTATAGAGGCAATGGTGAATTTCAAGCCCAACATTCTTTTTCGTTTGCATATCTAATACTTCCCCAAATTTTTGTTGTTAATAGATTGAACCCCATAGAATACTGTTATTTAGAGAATTTTCTTGATATCGATTGACGGTCATGTGGTTTGATTAAGAGCGAATAGAATTTTTTAAAAATTTCATAGTAAATTTCCAAAATGTGATTTACATTTTTACTATGATTGGACACTCATATATATGAACATGTAACATATTCCCTGACTGGTATGCCAAGTAGGAATACAAACTAGACACACCAAATTGGAAGCAGAAAGTGTCTATCTAAAGC